TTTTGTTCTTGGATTAGTATCTCTAGTTCACCTTGCTTGTTAGCTTTGATTTTGGTGAGTGGACAATGAAGAGTATGTTACATGACCTTAAAGATAGATTTGTCGTCACCTTAAACATTTTTTTAAGTGAGAAATTTTGTTTTAATATAGCATGCTTTTAGTCAAATGCTTCATATTGTATGGCGTATGCATCTTAAAACTGCATATACTATTTTATATACTATTTGCATGTACTATTTTATACTATTTGTTTGATATTATGATACCAGAATCTTACCTCATTGTAGAAAAATATAATGAATATTTGACAGGTTAATCATGTAAGACTAAAATTCAGTGAAGTTCAACAGACATTTATTAAGTATATGCCATGGAGATGTATCTTACCAGAATATTAGGTTTTGAAGTCAGCAAGAAGAAAATTTCATACTTAAAATTATCCTTGAAAATCCAAACAGCTCGTAAAGTGCCACCCTGCATCTTCAAAAAGTTGAAGCTGCAAAGGGGCTGTGATCCCTTTAAAAGAAAGCAGGCTGAATCAGAGGGTATGTAGATCTGAAATGGTTACTATGGAAACAACCAAATGTAAATTTTCTTTTCTGCTAGTCTCCTGTTCCACTTTTCTTTTCCATCTAAGTATTACTCTGAACTAAACTATTGAGCTATTGATGACAGGATCTAGAGGATTTCTACTTAAATAGAAGAAAACGAAAAATAGGTAAAGTTTTAGCTAGCAGGAAAATTGTATGATTAGGGGAAAGAAAATATTGAAAGGCCTTTAAAAAGGTTTTTTTTAAGTTAAAACAAAGCCTACGAACAGTTAAATTTGGTTAAGTTTGAATGCTACTGTGCAGTGTGTGCAGCGCTAAGTTTCTAGGGATACAAAGATTTAAAAAATAACATGTCCATACAGTCAAGAAGCGTAAGTTATACTTTATTAGAAGGGATCTTGTAGATCAAATCAAAATTCTCCTCCCAAAATTGAGGGCTATCACCTTCATTTAAAAGGAATGAGAAAGGTAGGGAAGAGAGGGAGTAGTTTAGAAATGAAATGTATTTTATATGGTTTTATGATTTAATATGCCTACAGCTAAGTGTTTGGGATCAAAATAACCACTTGACAGTTTCATCTACCAAGCACTTCTATCTGTAGTTGCAGTAGGCATCTACCCTAGTCTAGCATGTAGTATGATTACATACCTACCTATAGCTTTATGGAGTTAATTAAGGCTGTCTACACTGTTTGGAGAAACATTGTTTATGTATAGATCTGTGTCTCTCATTATTTGGAAAGTCAGTATGTGAAATTTTACTTCTGAAGTTGTAAATAAAGGGACATATTCAAGATGTTTGCATGTTAAATTTATATTTACAGAATTTTGAAGCAGAAGTTGACTAATCCTTCCTCTGTTACTTGGGCTAGCTTCCTAATCATACACACACACACACACACACACACACACACACACACACACACAGTTTTATATGTACACATAACTGTGTGTATATAATACACACACACACACATAAGGTGGTAGTGGTATAAGTAGAGAAAAGAGGTGAGATGAAAGAGGTAGAAATGTTTTAGAGGTAGAAATCAGTTGCCAATTTGGCAACTGATTGGTTATATGGAGTGAAGATGAGAAGTTTAGAATGATGTCAAGGTTATAAGCTTGGGAGACTAGAAAAACAATAGTACCCTTTGCAGAAATAGTGAAATTTAGTTTTTAAAATCTTTTTTTTTTTTTTTGGTGAAGCAGTTGAGGGTAAGTGAACACAAGGGAATTCAGCTGCCAGACAAAGGGAAAAGTTCAAGTCACTAGAAAGTTATATGGCAGTGCCCAGGCAGGCATCCTTAAGTTGTCAGTACATCAGATGACCTTGTTAGGAACTGCAGAACATATAGGCAGGGCAGGTGGTAAGGCCAGGAAGTCCTTAGAAGACAGTGGCAGGGCAGAAGGTAATTTGGTAGTCTTCCATTTTACCTGAAGGAAAAGTTGATGACTGTCATTAACCCAAGCCATGTGAGCAAGTCAGGCAATCTGGATGGAATCTAGGATGAATTCTGGAGCAAGAATTGGGCAAATTTAGTTGGACCTGCCAGAGATGAGGACCTGCCTCTTATTATTAGTGAATGTGAACAATTTCTACAATTGTTTACAGTATTTCTTTTTAGTTTGTATTATGAGAAATTTAAAACATCAGCACGTGGAAAAACCTAGAAAGCACATGAAGAAAATAGCCAAAGATAGTTTGTCATGAACTAGGGCTCCAACACAAAGAAAAAAAGAATATGAGGAAATGTTTAGAGAGAATATTGGAGGGTTAAACAGAATAATACCTTAAGCAAAATTCAGCATCTAAGAGTATTGATTAATTCTTCTTACTTTCTAGCTCCTTGTCTGGCTAATTTTTATACTTATGCATTATCTTCAACTTTTAAATGATCAGGATCACAAACCTCCCTCAGTATCCATGTCCAAAATCATATTATCCGGCTTAGTGAATTGGTCTCTCTGGACAAGGTCCTTATATTGATTCGTTTTCCAGCCATTTTCTTTCCGCTTGTTAATCTGTTCATTTATACCTTTGGTGACAAGTTGGTTATCTGTGCCCACAAGTTTTTCCATGTTGTGAGCCTTTGGTTGCCCAGTTGCTTTGGCAGGTGTTTCTAGTGATACTTTTCAGTTTGTCCTTCGGAATGTGTATCATTGGTGTTTAGAGTGTGGGCTAGTCCCCAATAGATATGCATACCTCCTTGTGCCCCATTTCTTCCATTATTTTTGCAGGCACCCTTGATATAAACAGTGTAAGGGTCTATTCTCTGGTAACTGTTGCTGGTCCTACTTTCCAGAGGCTACTGGTCATCAGAGTAGCCCTTCAAGTCTGCTTATAGCATTCTAAAATCATCTGAAGTCTCCAGTGGTTTGGTGGGCAAAGAAGGTGACTAGTCTTCAGACAATATGGGCTTTGTATAGTATCTACTTTAAAAATCTCTATTTATTACTAAATTGTAAAAATTATATATTAAAATCAAAGTATACTTTATTTTAGAAAAATGGATTATCTCAAAATCCTAATTAGAGATATAATTTTAATAGATTTAAGTTAAATGATCCTGTCTTCTAGCTACTGCTAGTGTTTTTATTGTCATTTGCCCTTTCTTCTATGTAGACTTAAAAGGAGAATTTTGGAAGTTATGGGAAAAGGTGTTCTTTTGTTTTGTTTTGTTGTTGTTGTTGTTGTTTTTTTGGTTAGGCAGTGGGGTTAAGTGACTTGCCCAAGGTCACACAGCTAGTGAGTGTCGAGTCTGAGGGCAGATTTGAACTCAGGTCCTCCTGACTCCAGGGCCGGTACTCTATCTACTGCACCATCTAGCAGCCCCTGAAAGGTGTTCTTTTGGTCCTAATTTTTTACATATATTTTTCTTACTAAGTGTTTTTATTAAAATCTTAGCATGAACATTAATACAATTTAACTTTTAATAAGTTATTTACATTTAAATTAATTTCAGTGTATAAAGCATGTAGTGACACAAAGTTAATCATTTTTAGTTACTTCTAAGATCCTTGTTAACATTTTTTGTCCATTCTTATTCACATATTCTGTTATGGGTATAAGCATGCACTTTATCATTCAACTTTCTTTACTTTGTATTATTTTATGAATATGTTTCTTGATTTCTTTGTATTCTTTATTTTCAGTCTTAATTGTATAAGTATTCAATTACATTGACGTACCATAATTTATATACACATTTCTTTATTATTGGTCATTTAGTTTGCTTCTAGGTTTTTCAAATTGTATATAAAGCTATTCTATGACAGCTTTTGAACATATAACAAACTTTTTGTTTATGAGAATACGTTCAGATTGTGTTCTTAACTACTAGTAGCGTTATTCAAAGGGTATGAAGATCGTTTTTGTAACTTTTACTTTTGTCCTGTACTGTTATTAAGTGTGATTTTATTATGTCTTAGCTTATTTTTTCTCATGAGAACATATTTCTGATTATATAAAGTTAAAAGGTAAATAAGATTTATTCTTGCTCTTTATATATTTTTCAGAAACATATTAGAAGGTGCTTTAGTGTTTTATTTATACACAATTGACAGATTTTATAGATTTTTATGTGAGATGCTGTTCACCGTGTTAAAAAGGGCAATACTTTTGAGTATTTAACAAATTTTAAATTATATTTCACTATGTGGTTGTTGCTGTTTTTCCTTCAGAGCTGAATCTTTAAAATTCCATCCTGTGGCAACAAATTTCAGAGGCTTTTCTGAAAACCAAAAAAAAATTTTTGTATGATTTAGATAGAATGTTTTTCCCAGAGGCTAGTGTCCAGATGTTAGTGACTAAGAAAAATGGGCACAAAGTTAATTTATATGGTATGTCACCTTGTAAAGTTTCTAAAAAAAATCCATGATGAAATAGTATTAATAGAATATGTAATATAAATGATATATTAATCTTAAGGGTTTTTTTTAAAATCACCTACTAATTATAACTACTTTTCCTGGTTTTGTTTTTTGTTTTTTTGATTTTGCTGCCTAATTCAACAACAGAGACACCATTTTTCTTTTTTTTTGCAAGTCATTTGGGGCTAAGTGACTTGCCTGGAGTCACACAGCTAGTAAGTGTCAAGTGTCTGAGGTCAAATTTGAACTCAGGTCTTCCTCACCCCAGGGCTGGTGCTCTATCCTCTTGTACCACCTAGCTGCCGAGAAACTGTTTTTCTATCCTTCATACCAGTGTTTATCCTTAATTGACTTACTTTTTTCTTTTGCTTAACCAATATTTCAAATTAAGAAATAGTAATAATACCTATAATTTAATTTCAGAGACTGCCTTAAATTTTTTTTCTTCTGTTCATGTAAACTCTTTTTTAAACTTTCTGAATCTTTTGGAAGTTTTTTATGCTGGAAGTCAGGTAGAAGAAATGTAGAAGGACAAGTAGGATTTAAGTATTTTTAACCTTTTATGTCTTTATTTTATAGAGACTAGTTTTGAATGATGATGACATATTTGAGGCAGAATCTGACAGCGATTGGCAAAGTGAAACAAAAGAGGACATTTCCCCCAAGAAAAAGAAGAAAAAGTCAAGACACAGAGAAGACAAAAGTCCTGATGATTTGAAAAAGAGAAAATGGAAATCTGGTAAACTGAAAGATAAGTCTAAAACACAATTGGAAAATTCTTCAGAAAATTTGGGTTTTGATTCAAAGTCCAAGAAAAGGATTTTGGAATCCAAAGAAGATTCAAAGGAGTACAAAAAGACCAAAAAAGATGATTTAAAAGAAACAAAGAAAGTAAAACGGGGTGAAATTAAAGACTCAAAGGGGAAAGTAAGAGACGATTTTAAAGAAAGCAAAAAAAAGAGAGAGAAACTTAATGAATCTCTGTTAGAATCTGAATCAAGTACATTTGATGATTCACTTTCTCAGTTGGCTGATGATGACAGTGAAGATTTACCTTCTGATAACAGAGGAGAGAAACAAAAATTTAAAAGTGGAAAAGATAAGTTAGAACATGACATAATTCAAGATATGATTTCTGATAAACAACCAGATGATGCAGGAAGTGCTGAAGAAGATACTGATGTCAGAACAAAAAGGAAAAAAAAGAAATTAAAGAAAGCTGAGGAATATAAAGAAGAAATTAGAAAAGTAGAAAATAAGGACCCATACTCAGAGAAGAAAATTTTATACAAAAAGCAAAAGAATCAAGAAAAAGTCAAAGGTTCTGTAGAGGTAGATAAATTAATACCTACAGCTGCTCAAATTCAGAAGAGCACAAAACTGGGTAGTGAAGAACGAGGTCGAAGGTCTACTGATTCAGTTGGAGAGGTAAGTCACTCAATGATAGAAGAGGAAAGTTTTAAGAATAAAAGGATGTTGCTTGAATCAGCTGTATGGGGAAAGTAATACGGGAAAATATTTTTTGGTGCATACCATAGAAAAAACAGTAAAATAGAAGAAAGAAACCGCATAAAGGCAGTGTTTCTTGCATGAGATTATCAAGGAATTCCAAGGGTACCATTGAGCCTCTTGTCTCTAAATTAGTGATGACTGGCAGACTATTGTGAATTGACTAGCTTCTCCTCAGCTCTTTCCTGCTTCTAATCTTATAAAATCCATTTCCATGGCAAATAGAAAGGGTGCTGTGGACTTCTTGCTTATTTTCAAATTTTGTTAGAGGGATAGGTTTAGAAAATATTTGAACAAAATAATATTCTTAAATATTACCTGAATGGCAGGGTCCCTTCAAATAAATGAATGGTGAATTGTTGTATGCCAAAATTAAGCTTCATAGAGCTATCACATAGGCATTCTTTTAGCTTCTTATTGAATGGATTATCTTATTCTTATAAATATTAAGATTCAGTTTTACATCTTCCTGCCCTCTATTTTTGGTCTTTCAACCTGACACCTCTGTTAGATTATTCTAAAGGAAGGAGTTAATGTAATTATGTATTTGGTTTTTTTTGTTGTTGTTTTTGTTCCTTTTAAATTGTGTCTGGCATTTCTTAGATAAGGCACATTAAGATAGTAATGCGTCTGTTCAGTCAAGTAATTGGTAACATTTCTATAAAGCTGTACATATGTCTTCTCCTAAAGAGAAGGAATTGACACAGGTGGGTTATTTTTTTTTTATCTTGGTGAATAATCTGTATTCAAATCAAATGAGATAATATGTGTAAAATGCTTTGCAAACTCTAAAGGACTATGTAAATGTTAGCTCTTATTATTATTTTCTAAGGGGAAAGTCTATGCCACCAACTTCTTTAGGTCTACTAACTTACGTAACTCTTCTCATAAATCTTCCAGAGATGACAGAGACAAGAAGGAAACACAGATATATGTTTTGATCATTATTTCCTTATTAAGTTTTCCCATAGATAGGCTCAATGAAGGAGAATGACATCCAACATCTCCAACAAAACCGTATGCCTTCAGGATAATGATTCACCCTCCTTAACCTCTTAAAGTACAGAGATATCAATCTGCATGTAATGTAAAGAAACTTCCCCAGCCCCTGCTGTGTCAGATTGGATTTCATTCAGGTGTGCCTTGGAGGTGACTTAGTATAGTATATAGTGAAAGGTATTGGACTTGAACTCAGAGGACCTGGCCTCAAATCCTGCCAACCTATGTAACCGTGGGCTTAAGATGTCAAAACTTCAGTTTGATCACTATAAAATGGAGATAATAGTATATGTTTTTATATGTATATAAAATACACACACACACATATATATGTACATATTTCACAAGAATGTTATAAGGAAAGTACCTTGCAAACTAAAGCTCTATAAACATGTGATCTGTTATGATGGTGTTGATGATGGTGTTACCTGGGGAAATGTTGGTCCTTTGAAATTATACTCTTATGTTTCTTTCTTTTCTGCTTTTTATTCTTCTCGAATGCTATGCCCTCTGCAGAAATTTTCTAGAAAATTTTGTAAGCAGTGTGGTGTTGATGATTAGATAATTTGTTAATTATTTGCCTCCCTACTTTTCTATACAAGTTGAGTTAAATTCTATCTCGTAATTAGTCTAAAATGGACATTTTATATGCATCTGTGACAAGGATATAGGTGCATGTCATGCCCTGCTGGTTGTGGGGTGGGGTCACAGTAACTGCAGACATTTGTTGGAAGGATGCATAGGTTCCCCTGCCTTCCTGTGGTATTCACAACCCAGATTCTCTCTGCAACTTATACCTGTTGCTCCTGTTTCTACCTTCTAATGGCAAATAGAATATGACTTCTCACTCTTCTTCTTGATGCCCTCCAAATATTTGAAGATGGGTAATGTGTTTACCTATAAGTCTTCTCTTATCTAGGCACAGCATCCCCCAGTTCTTGATCTTCACTTAGCATAATCTTGACAACTTTCCCCATCCTGGTCGCCCTCTTCTATGTATTTTCCAGATTGTCAATATTCTGCCTGAACCATTATCCCCAGAACTGAGACTCCACATGTGGTATGATGAAAGCAAAAAACAAAGGACCATCGCTTCCCTAGTCCCAGATGCCAAGCCTTTCTTAATTAGTAAACATTTATTAAGTACCCACTATGTACTAGGCACTTTGCTAAGTGCTAGAGGTACTAAAAGAGGCAAATGACTGTCCCTGCCCATTAGATTTACAATCTAATGGAGAAGCTCAGCATCACATTAGCCTTTTTAGCTGTTTCATTATACTATTTGACTCAAAATGAGCTTGAAATGCGTTAAAACCTTCATATCTTTTTCAAACATATTAATTTTAAGTAATCGCTCCCATTCCTGTGACCTTGGGCTCTGGTTGTTGAACATTCACTTTATCTTGCCTAGTCTCAAGTTCACTTCACCACTTTCAAGAGATATCGACCCTTGCACGCCTTTTTCTAATTCTAGCTCTAGAATGGTAACCAAATGAATACTATTCGTGGAAAGGACATGTCAGTCATTTGCCCTGTGACTCCATTCATTATTCCCTCCGATTTCTCTGTCCAAAACATTCCTCCATGGCCACTAGTTCCCTATATGTGTTGTCTTCTGTTAGAATGTAATATTAGAAGATAGCCAGGTTAGCACAAGAAGTACAGCTGAGCTCTCCTCTGTTACTATTCCACAAAGATCTGGAACATGTACCAGACTAAGTCCTGACTGGGAAATCCAAGAAAAAAATCACAGTGTGTCTATCACAGGTCAGCAAAGGGAGGTAGGCAAGTCTGTAGACACTGAGGATAGGGGCTTAACCAGGAGTATGGTGTGTGATATTTTCCATCATGGCTGTACAACAGGATAAGAAAGGGGTCCTGGACCCTTGGAGTGCCTTGACCTTGTACAGGGAGCAAGGAATAAGTGCCAGCTGGTCACTTACCACCCAGTGCTGTGTCACAGATGCACTGAAGGCCTGAGGACTGGGTTTTGCTGATACCTGAAATAACACAATACCCAGTATCCTGAGAAAGCAATAGCGAGTCTCAAGAGGACACAAACACAACCCAGACATTCCCTCCAGAAGTATACTAAGCCTGGCCAGAAGTCATAAAGTAGGCAGGAAGAATGAGCAAACAAACAAAAAGTCCTATCATAAAAAGTTATTATGGTGACAGGAACACTCAGTACATAAATCTAGAAGAGAATGCCTTCAAAATATCTACAAGCAAGCCTCAAAGAAAAAAACAGTTTGGGCACAAATTTAGCTAGAATTCTTGGAAGAGATGAAGCTAGAGTTCTTAAAAAGTTTGAAATTATTTTGTAAGAGAGTACTAGAGAAAATAATTAGAAAAGAAATGAGAGCTATAAAAGAAAGAATTGGAAAGGGAATTAACAGCTTGGCACAGAAGGTATAAAACCTTACTGAAGCAACAGACTACTTGAAAATTAGAATGACTCCTCAAAAAAGCTAATGACTTCATGAAACAAAAAGAAATACTAAAACAAAGAAAAGACTGAAAAAAATATAAGAAAAATATAAGGTATCTGTCTCATAGCAAAGACAACCGACCTGAAAAACTGATTGAGGAGATATCATTTAAGAAACATTGGACTACCTGAAAGCCATAACCAAAAAAGAACTTAAACATGTTTTAAGAAATCATGAAAGAAAACTACTCAGGTCTCATAGAACCAGAGGGCAAAGAACAGAAAGACTCTGCTGGTCATCTCCAGAAAGAAACCCTAAAATGAAAACTTCCAGCCAAAATCCAGAATTTCCAATTCAAAGGAAAAAATACAAGCTGCCGTAATGTAATTGTATAACAGGCAGGGACTGTCTTGCTTGCTTGTATTTGTGTCCCTAGTGCTTAGCACAGTGCCTGCCATATAGGAAGCTCTTAATAAATGCTTTTTAATTTATTCATCTTAAACTTAGGAAGTTAATTTTAACCCAAGATAAGCCTTTACATTTGTTGCAGTTGAATTTCATCTTATTAAATTCAGCCCAGTGCTCTGGCCTATTAAGATCTTTTTAGGTTCTGATGCCTTTATCCAGCCTGATAGCTAGCTGTCCCAGCTTTGTGTTATATGCGAAGTTAATGAATATGTCATCTTTGTCTGTATCTGAATCTTGGATAAAAATTTTAAACAGAGCAAAGTTAAACACAGATCCTTTGATGACTCCATTGGAGACATCCCGCATTTATTTTGAACCATTAACAACTACTTTCAACCTACTTAGGGGCTTTGGTCCCAGATAAGGAGTGGTCATGGGCCCTCAGCTGTGTACTGAGCAGGTAACAAGCACAGAAGCAAGTAGCAGTTGTGTGGCTCTGACCCTGAGAAGCAAAGCAGGGTCTTGGTTCCAGTCACTTGCCCAGTCTAAAGCTTGCAGCTGAGTAACCAGGACAAGAATTCCAGACCAAAGGGGAAGCTTTCAGTTCTGTTATTCTGAACTTTCAGAGCTCTTTAGCTGACTGAAAATGACTGGATCCAGTAGCAGTCTACTAGAACGCTAATCAAGGGCGGACCAAATCCCAGGTCAGGAACTTGCAGAGGTCAGGCTGGTAGGGAGGTCCTCAGACATCACCCTGGATCACACTGCTTTGAGAGTACTAAAAGTTTGCAGCTCCGCAGCCTGGGCTGTTGCTGACACCTGAAATAATACAGTACTCAATATTTTCGCAAGTATATTTTCCCTGTACTGCTAACTAGAGACTGAATTAGTGCTTGTTCTGAGTTCATAGGATTTTTCACTTTGAATGAAAAGGAGGATTATCAACCTTTCTTGCCCATCTTAATTCCTATGTTTTGGAGCTCCAAATGAGTGATTTTTCTGCCCTTTAGTAAATAATCCGCTTTATTAAAGGGAAAAGAAAAGAGCCTACATGTAAAAGTTAGACCATTATCTACAACTGAGACTTCAGGAGAGCTAGATAGGGTATGCTACAGATCTCCAAGTGTCAGATCAACAGATGGGGGAAGATGTGTATGTGGAAGGAGTTGGGGATGGGGGAGGAGGTATAGATAGTCCGAGGAAATGAATAGCTCCCAAAATGGTTTCCTTGCTTTTCCTTTTTATTAAGAAAATATCCCATATTTTGTGTATTAGTTTTCTTTGCCTCCCAAGGGTTCTAGGGTAACAGTTGAGGGGGGGGAGCAAGATATTAAATGTTGTCTGTGCTCTCAGATCTATCCTTTAAGATGAGGAGCAAAAAGCAGGCTCATTCTATGACTAACTTTGGACATGGTCTAATGGACTTAGGGGCCCGTCTTTGCTGGGCTCTGAGAAACTTTTTAAGATCGCAAGAATTTATCCCTTGTACAGTAGCCATTATCTTACAATAGGCCTCATGGCAAAACAAAGGGCAAGAAGTGCTGTAGTTTATTTGTGGCCTGAATTTGTTTGTATAACTTTTAACTTTCCTGAACTAGTCATCAGACTTGTTTTAAAGTTCAGTAAACTTGGTAATGTTCAGTTAGCTTCTCTTTTTAGGACTTTGTTGTGTTTTGCATTTATGTTATTTCACGTTTTGTGTATCCTGGTTCTGCTTACTTAACTGTGTCAGAGCATGTAATTTCATACTTAGGTAAATTCTTCATATTTTCATTTCTTATGGAATTGATTGATATGCCATTACACTGCTATAGCACATTTATTTAACCATTCCCCAGTTCATCAGCAGCTACTTTTATTTCCAAATCTTTGCCACCCCTCCCCCCCAGATGCCTTATATGTATATTTGAATGCAAATGGGATCTTTCTGTCTGTCTTTGACTTTCATGTGAGTATATGTCTAGAAGTGGGATCTTGGGACCAAAGGGTACAGACATTTCTTTGGCTTTTTTAACATAATTCCAAATTATTTTCCAGAATTGTTGGATCGGTTCCCAGCTCTACCTGCAGTAGATGAATTTACTTATCTGTCTTCCCATAGACCCTCCAACATTGACTGTCTCTGTTTTATGTCATCTTTCCCATTATACTGGGGATGAGGTGAAATCTCAAAATGTTGGTGATAGGTATTTTTCTTCCAAGTGGTTATTTGGACTGATCTTTCATATTGTTCATAGTTTGTAGTTCTTTTATTTAGAATTATTCATATCCTTTTTTATCCATTTTACCAAAAATGCTTATCAGTTGGAGAATGACTGATATCCTTACATATTTGTGTTAATTCTCTGTATGTCTTTGATATCAAATTTTTATCGTGGTAATTCTCTGTATATTTTTGATATCAAATTTTTATCAGAGATATTTGATGCAAATTATTTTTCTTAATCAAGTGTTCTTTTTTATTCTAACTTCATTGATTTTCATAGATAAAGTTTGTTTTAACAAAATTAGGTGCTTCTCAAATGCTTTCTTGAAAGAGCTAGTGGTGGAGTGGATAGAGTGCTGGCCCTGGAGTCAGGAGGACTCTAGTTCAGATCTGGTCTCAGACACTTAATTACTATATGCCTCTGAGAAAGTCACTGAACTGCTATTTGCCTCATTTCCTCATCTGTAAAATGGGGATAATAATAGTACTTACTTCCTGGGGTTATTGTGAAGATCAAATGAAGAAATAATTGTAAAGCATTTGGCAAACTTTAAAATGATATATAAATACTATTATTATTGTTAATAAACATCCACACACACCATCTGTTCATTTACTAAATATAGTTACTTTATTGATTAACAGAAAAGGGATATGCCCTCCAACTTTGATATTAAGGTATTCACACTTTTTTCTGAATTCTTCATGTTTGTAACTTAGGATGTGGTTACATTCTCATATATCATGATTTGACTTGTCCATTCTCCAATAGTGGGCATATCATTGCTTTCCAACTTTTTTCTTATCACAGGTAATTATGCTATGAATATTTTTCTACATAGGGATCTTTTCCTGTTGTCTATAAGTATCTTCAGGTGTAGAGGCCCAGTAGTGAAATATCAACATATGAATTAAATTCTAACTTTTCTTCAGTAATTCCAAATCATTTTTCAGAATAGCTGGGCCAGTTCACTCTAACATTGAGAAATTAGTGTGCTAGCATTTTTTTAAAATAATTCTTTTTTGTTATTCTGAACTTAACAAACATGAACATTTTCATACACAAAGAGCAGAAAAAGTAGATTGCTTATGAAACCAAACTGTTATTAGAACATTTTTGTCTTGATGAAATCTCGTAATGTTGTCCCGTCTTTGTAACCTGGTGGATGTGTGACAAAATATAAGTTATTCAGTATTAGAAGTATATCATTTTTATCTGTTACCAAATGGTAGAAGGGTAGTCCAGAGTTGTAGGAAAAAGCATGAGGAAAAAAATTTGATTTAGTACTTTTGTCATAGAAAAATAGAGTCCATGGCCTTGGTGCCATGTTTTTCATTGCTTAAAGGACATTGTTTAGTATATATTGTCACTTTACAATTCTGTTTGTATCTTACTTTCATTATCAGGAGAAAGAAACACGGAAAAATGAAGTAAAAGAAAAATATCAGAAAAGGTATGATTCTGACAAGGAAGAAAGGGGGAAAAAAGAGCAAAAGGGAATAAAGAGTGAGTATAAATAACTGAATTTTATGTGATTTTTAACATATATAGTTGGGTTTTTTTTTGGTTTTTTAGGCAGTTGGGGTTAAGTGACTTGCAGGGTCACACAGCTAGTAAGTGTTTGGTCTGAGGCTGGATTTGAACTCAGGTCCTCCTGACTTCAGGGCTGGTGCTCTATCCACTGCACTACCTAGCTGCCCCTTATAGTTTATTTTTTAAGTGTTTACTATAAATAGACCTTTTTAAGACAATTTGACTCCCTCTCCTTAGAGTGCTAAAAATAGAACTAGACATCTGTACTTTCCAGGAAATTATGGAGGATTCACATTCAATTTTTTGCTTCTGTATTTGTTCATGAGCTCCTTTGAGGCCTTAGCATCCTATACATTTTCTCTGGGGTAAAATGAAGGCTATCCTATACCCAATAATCATATCGTATATTAGGTAAGTGCCTGTGTGGGATCTGGAAACACTGCTACCCGCATTTGGGGACACCCTAGACATAAGCTGTGGGCAGGTTTTATTTTGGAAGTTTATCTGAATTAATCCAAGTAAGGGCAGTAAACTAAAAAAAAGAGATTTACCCTTTGAGGTCAAGCTCATAGGATGAGACCTAGTCCATGTGAGCCCAGAATACTTCGAGGATGGGAGAAGGTTATGGAAGGGAGGGGAGCAGAGCCAAGTCATTATCATGAGTTTTGTTGGATATTGGACAGCCAATAAAAAAAAAGACACACTGGAACTATTTGGTGATTCTGGTAATGAATTTGTGTGGATGCCTTTATCCACAGCCAGTCGTATTAGCAAGTAGAAGCAACAGTTTTTCTTAAAGCATCTGTAAGACAGGATTTTATTCTTGTTTTACAACAAGAATTTGTGATTTAATATTTATCGTAAAACTCTTTATTATGTACTAGCTTTTAAAGAAATGAGGAATGCATTTGATTTATTTACATTAACACCAGAAGAAAAAAATGACTATTCAGAGAATAATCGGAAAAGAGAAGAAACATTTACTGAAGACTACAGAACTAAGGAAAATAAGCAATTATACAAGGAGAGAAGAAGTACAAGGGATGAAACTGATACATGGGCTTACATAGCTGCAGAAGGTGATCAAGAGGTACTGGACAATGTGTGTCAAATGGATGAAAATTCTGGTGAGTATGATTAAAAATGAGTCACAAATTATGAGTCAACCAGAAGCCAACCAGGTTATTTTTATTTTTTACAAATCGTACTGTTTGTGTAGGGTTTCTGAAAAACAGAAGACAAAAGTTTTGTTTTGTTTTCCCCATGTTTTCTAGTTTTCTCTTTGACTTTAGCTGCCATCTGAAGTTTAGAAAGTAAGACAGAATAAAACCTTATCTTAAAATATGAACCAATAATTTATGTTAAGGGTACATCCTGACCTCTCTAAATTAATGGACAGATGTTAAATAAACACATATATTGTTCATTATGTTTAGAAACTAACAAGAAACAATTTCGGGAGGATGAAGGCAGGAATAAAAGTTTGACTACATAGGGGTAGAATACTATTATATACAAATACATTTATAACTAGTCACAGGTCTAGGTCTATAAGAAGTTTGCCAGAATAGATTAAAACCTGGAAAAAGTACATGGAAAATATAAAATTGTAAATTTTAAAGTAAGAAGGAGAGAAAGAACTTGGGCACAATTGATATAAGAACATTCTAGATGGTGAGAAAGGCAAAAGCAGAGAAGACTTAGGCAGGTAAATAAGCCATATGCAAGGGTTAGGGAGCCAGCCTACTCAGCTACTCAGAAGAAAATCTGAACTAGGTTGTAGTAAAAGGTAAGGATGGTTAATAAGGGACTTTTTATTAGTAGAAAACCTTAAGGCTAACAGTCACAAGTTTTCATTGATTGGAAAGTTCATTAGGAGAAGTTTCTTTGTTGTCTTAAGTGCACATTTCTACAAACCTTAAATTTTTGTGGCAAGAAAAAACTACTGAACAGTTTTGTCATGTTGTTATTAGAGGGAAAGTCAGCTTATTAAGTCTTTTTGGAGGGGAGGGGGGGCTGAGGCAGTCGTGATGAAATGACTTGCTCAGGGTCTCACAGCTAGTAAACGTCAGGTGTATGAGGCCAGATTTGGACTCAGGTCCTCCTGACTCCAGAGCTAGTGCTCCATCTTCTGTGCCACTGCCCCACTTGTTAAGTCTTATGGTATCAAGAATTGCCATTTTCACATTTTAATAAGTAGGTGAAACAATTTTAAAATGCACCATCATTAATTATTGAATTGTTTGAGGCCACCCTACTAGGGTTTATTCTTTTTTCCAATCTAAGTAGGTGTCCAGGCTGCTAACAGTTTGGAATTGTTACATCTAAATATTACAAGGTTGTAGATTTAAAGCTAGAAAGGAACCTTAGTCTTCTAGTCCAGGCTCCTCTTTTTCACATGAGAAAATTGAGGCCCACAGATGCTAAGTGACTTGCCCAAAGTCACCCAAGTAGTGAATGGCAGAACTGGGATTCAAATATGCTGTCCAAAGGAAAATTCACTTTTTCATTTTTAAGTAAAGGAGTCAATACTTAACAGAAAGAGAAGAATATATGTATGTAATAGGATCTGTGTAGATATAGACATTTCATTTTGTGACTTAGTTCTTAGTTTCCATGTAAGATGCAGGGAGATGGAAAAATAGCAACATTTGTGATATTATAATCATCTTTTAAAAGGTGATTAATAAGTTATCTGCATATCTAACAGACAGGCAGCAAGTTTTGAGTTTGGGAATGGATTTGCAGTTGGAATGGATGAAATTAGAAGATTTTCAAAAGCATCTTAATGGAGAAGATGAGAATTTTACAACAGCGGATGCTATACCAAGTAGTAAGTACTTTTGAAATTGTATGATACCATTTGAGAAATCTAGTTGGAATTTTTTTTAAAAATCCAGAAATCAGAATTGGTATAAAATTGACTTTTTTTCTTCTTTAGACTTACTGAGGGATGCAGTGAAAAATGGAGATTATGTTACAGTAAAAATTGCACTTAATTCAAATGAGGACTACAATTTGGACCAAGAGGTAATAGTGTAATATTCCTGTGAAAATTTTATTGAAATGTAGCTCTATGTAGTAATGTAGGCAAGTTAATATGTGACATCAGAAGCATTTACCAGTATCCTTAAAAATATTGCTTGTCTCATGGCCTTAAAGGCTTTCCTTTCTTCTTCATTACAAATCCCAATACTTGGGCTGCATTATTTCCACCTAATACAACCTTTTCACTGACCTTCTCCTTCTTGTCAGAACTTTGACCTTTTTTTTGTTTCAGGTTTAGTTAATTTTATTTCCTTTTTTTTAATTTTGTACCTATCAGAACACTATACAATTAAGTTTTCTCATTTTTTGACCTGCGTATAGATAACCTTAAACAAAATGTTTTCTCCCAAATTAAGAAATTAGGTATATCTAGAATGCAGCAGTTACACACATGACAAATAATTCACCAAGTAAAATTTACTAGAACATATCATAAAATTTTAGGATAGCCAGTCAGAAGAAAAGGTCATCAATTCAGCAGTCAGTTATTTACATTTTAAAACATGCTTCTTTTTATCTAAACTCCCAAGTCAAAGGCAGAACTTGGATGACAGAGTAGTAGGAAAGAAGCAAAGCAGACTTTTACCCAAACTCCTCTAAACATATCTAAAAATCACACTGGGCCAAATCCTGATGGGAAAAGCCAATTAAAAAGTCACAGTGAGTCATTTTTCCAGCACATGTGAGCACAAAAGAGACTATGAACACTGGAGAAGGGGTCTGGGTCTGGCCAGGGGCAGGCCTGTGGAAAATTCCATTGCAAAGAAGAGTCTGTACAACAGGATAAGGAGGAATCACAGACCCACAATGGGGTACCATCATAGGAACAGGGTGGCTGCCTGGCAGCTTTGTTGCCAACTACCCATTTCCAGGTCCTGGATCCAGGACCTTTGTCTAGGGGGATATTCAAGGGTAAGGAGCAGTTGCCCACCCTAGGCAGTATACTGAAAGAGCAAGCAGTGGTGATGTGACTCATATCTTAGAAGCAGAAGAGCAGGTTCTCAATTCCAGCTTCTGGACTAGTCTGCAGCTTGCAAAAGAATAACCAGGGTAGGAGCCCCAGACCAAAGGGGAGCCTGCAGTTCTGTTATTCTGAACCAGTAAACCTTCCCAGCTTGCTGATAAGGAGCAGATTCCAGCAGCAGTCTACTTTTGCTCCTACGCAAACCCAGGTCAGAAACTTGCAAAACTTAGACCAGGGGGGCAGCAATCAATCTATGCCTTGGATCAGAATACTGAAAGCTTGCATGTCCCTAGACTGTTCCTGAGATCCTGGAATTGACACAACACCCAGTACCTCAGGAATGCAGCAACAGGACCAGCTGAGATCCAATCTCCAAAAGTACCAGAGGGCTCACATGTAACATCATGTCCGAAGTCAAGGAATAGGCAAAGAATGGGTAAACAAGAAAAGAACCTCACTTTTATAGTACCAGGGGTGCCCAAGGAACAAATAGAGAAGAAGAGAATGACTCCAGTACATCTTCAAACAAAGGCCCAAAGAGAAACATAGCTTGGGCACAAATTCAGGAATTTCTGAAAGAGGTAAAATGGGGCAGGTAGGTAGCGCCGTGGATAGAGCACTGGCCCTGGAGTCAGAAGGACCTGAGTTCAAATCCAGTCTCAGACCAGACACTTGACACTTACTAGCTGTGTGACCCTAGGCAAGTCACTTAACCCCAATTGCCTTGGCAAAAAAAAAAAAGAAAAGAAAAAAAGAGGTAAAACAGGAGTTTAAAATATTTTTTATAAATGAAATGAGAGTTCTAGAGGGAAAAAAATGAAAAAGAAATGACAACTTTGGATTACCTGAACATCATGACCCAAAAGAGAGCCTAGACATCCTATTTCAAGAAATCTTAAAAGAGGGCAAAGTGGAAATAGAAAGACTCTGCTGGTCCTTTCCTTAACAGCAGCTCCAAAATGAAAACTCCCAGTAACATCACAGCCAAAATCTGGAGTTTCCAGGTCAAGGAAAAAATATTGCAATTAACAGCCTGAAGGAAAGAATTTAAGTACCAAGAATCCACAGTCAGGATCACACACAGTTTAGCAGCCATTCTGTAAAGGATCAGAGAACTTGCAATGTGACATTCCCAGAAGGCAAAGGATATGGGCTTACAGCCAAAAATAATTTACCCAGCAAAACTTGAGTATTATGAAACGGGGGTGGGGGGGGGGGATGGAACTTTAATGCAATTGAAGACTTCCAAGCATTCCTGATGAAAAGGCCAGAGTTGTGGAGAAACTCTGAAGTTCAAACACAGGATTGAAAAGGTAAACATAAATGAACAATGTTGATAAACTGCTTACATTCAAATATGAGGAGATGTTACATGTGTCTCCTCTAAACTCTATCATCACCAGGATTCATAGAGGGAATCCAGTTAGATAAGGACTGGGAATGGTTCTGTTATTTCTTGATGGTCTTAAGAAAAGGATGGAAAGAGAAGAGAAATATGATGGAATATGGAGGGGGAGTGGGAAAGGAAGTTTAGGGGAAATCATCTTACACAGTCAGAGCATGCAAGCAGACATTGGTGCAGACCAGGAGGAGAGGGGGCAGTGGGAGTAAATGACATGTTAACTGACATCTGAGCTGGTCAAAAGAAGGAAGAATACAGACACATAGAGATGGGTACAAAAATATGTTTCACTCAGTAGCAGGATAGGAGGGAAAGGAGAGGAAAGGAAAAGGTGGAATTAGTGGCTAGGTTAAGGAGAGGGATAACTCCTAAGCAAAACAAAATCTAAGGATGTACACAAATGTTTGTAGCTCTTTTTCAGATGACAAAAAGTGGGAATCTGAGGGGCTGTCCATGAATTGGAAAATGGCTGAACAGGTTATGGAATATGAATGTGATGGAATTATGATGTGAGAAATGATGAAGGATGGTTTTAGAGAAATCTGGAAAGACATGTAGGAGCAGAGTGAATTTTACAGATCCAGAAGAACAGTTTGTACAATGACAATAATATTGTAAAAACGGCTTTGAAAGACTAACCAATTAATGCAGTGACCTACCATGATTCCAGAGGACTAGTGATAAAATATGTTTTTCCACCCATCTCCTGGTAGAGAGGAAAATGGATATATGTTTTGCTTTACTATGCTAAGTCTGTAAAAGAGGTTTTCTTTTTTCATTCTCAATTGAGGGGATGGGAAAGAAAAGTTGGATTGTTTGCTGATTAAAATATACATATTTGTGTGCGTTTATAAAACATATATATATGTATGTATACACACACACACACACACACACACACACACAAATTACTTAAAGGGAAAAATAGGAAAGGGTGTTGTTAAGGAATGTTAAAGGGTCCCTTGAACTTGTCTTTTATTATCCATAAACACTGGACCCAGAGTTTCTAGGAGGCCCTGACTGTGTCAAGGGTAAAGGTGCTCCTCCCTTTCCCCCCCACCCCAGACATAATAGGTTGTTTGCATCCCACACTGGTCTCCCTGTGTGTCCCTGGGAGTCAGAGCAGGTGCTAGTCAGTCTACACTGGGCTGAGAAACTGCTTGTGCAGCTGGGACCCTCTGTAGATAAGCAGGTTATCCTATCTTCGTAGTCTCACAGTTGCCAAGGTAAAAGAATCTAGCTTTTGCCATCACCATGCTCTTCCCCTTTAGGAGGAGTTTTATCCTTTCCCTACCTCTACTGCAAATTTCCCCCTCCCATGCCATGCCCCTTTAGGTGGAGACTTTTGTTTTCTCCTCTTTCCTTTGTTGTAACCCCCCCTTGTACACTCCTATGTGGATTGTGAACTCTTTATGTTCTTACATGCATTTTCATTTCTCTTAAAATAAACTTTGTTTTCAGGTAAGTTTCATGAAGTTGTGACTGCTTATTGACGGTACTGTCAGATTTTAAAAATGTACTCTCATGTCAGAAACTTAGTTTTATTTCAATGGAAGAAAAACAGGAAATTTTGATTCACAAGTAGGCAGCATTGATTACCCTTGATTTGAAAACTTTTGTGCAGTTTTTAAGCCTGCCTTAGAACAGTGAACATCCCACTTCATACTGTCAAAATTTGAAATGTCAAACTTAGGCCCTTTTGTGCCTAGAAAGGCTAATGTATTCATTAATTTATAATTAAAGTGTAGTCAATAAAATACCAGACTTCTCTACTGGATCATTCTTTTCAGCCGCTCTTATTTGTCTATATCTTGTATTTCACAATAATTGGCTACATATTGGAAGAAATTGGTGTATATTCACTGCAAATAAAGGTCTTTTAGTCAACGCTTTTATGCCTAATTTAAAATACAAGATTTTTTAAAAATAATGTTGATATTCTCACATTCTTAAGATAAAGTTTGATTGATTATTCAAATAATTTGTCAAGAAATAGCCATAAAGAGATCAGTTTTAGTGTTTAAAAAAAGCAATCAACTGAGGGTAATTTTTTTTTAATTAACTTGTTTGTAGTTTTCAACAGTCACTTCCATAAGCTTTTGAATTTTAAATTTTCTCCCCCTCCCTGCTCATCTCCCTCTCCAAGATGGTGTGAAATCTGATACAGGCTCTACATGTACATTCCTATTAAACATTTTCACATTAGTCATTTGTAAAGAAGAATCAGAACCAATAGGAAGAACCACAAGAAAGAAGAAACAAAACAAAAAAGAAGAGCAAATGGTATTCTTCAATCTGCATTCAAACTCCATAGTTCTTTCTCTGTATGTAAATAGCATTTTCCTATATGAGACTTGGAGAGATGTCTTAGATCCTTGCATTACTGAGAAGGGCTAAGTCTGTCAAAGTTAGTCATTGCACAATATAGCTGTTACTGTGTACAACATTCTCCTGGTTCTGCTCACTTCACTCAGCATCAGTTCATACAGGTTTTTCCAGGTTTTTCTGAAGTTGAGATTAATTTCTTTACTCTTCCCTAATTTAGTCTAATCCACTTTACAGAAGGTATTTCTAACTAGCCAGTAAAATTTTGTGGATCCTCCAAACTTAATCTTGCCTACCTTACTCGTTATATTGATATTTCAGACTTATGTTAACAGTTCCTATACTTCAAAAGTCAACTGCTTTGTAGCCCTTGTTGCTTCTGTGATAGCCTTCTCATATAAACCCTTTCTCATTAAAGCATCACTAAAAGTTTTCTAAAAGGGAGTATGGTTTCAGTATTAAAAGAATAAAATGTTTGCAATCCAAGCCGTCAAAAACAGTTCTTCTGTCAGGCCATTATCTTTTTGGCTTACAGTTTTAATGAGAATTTAAACTGACCACCATGGTAAGCCATAAATCCTGCCCCAAAGCATGTCCCATACACATAGGGGTCTGCCATCTGGTGTGAAATACTTAGAGATGTTTTGGAAGAGTTTTTTATTTTCAAGGAATAACAGCTTTACTTGTATTGAAATTACTCTTCATTTTGAAGAGAATAAAGTGGAGGAGGTGAATAGTGTATGCATACTATCTGGAAGAAAATCAGAGCCTTAACTTAAAGTAGAACCAGTATTTTAGGATTGGAGGGTTTCAGATCATCTGGGCTTTCACTACCATATACTGGGTCCCTGTAATAATCAGATTTTCTTTGATTTAGTGTCATGTAAACATTTATACTGTTCTTGCTGCTTTTCCAGTGGCCCATTGTCTGCTGTCCACTGTGCTGATTAAGAACAGTACTTTACTTGTGTTCTGAACCTCACTAGTGGCCTATTTAGGACTTTTCAAGGGAATCTAGTTTTCCAAAGGGCCCTCACTTGCCAAAGAGGGTAGAGAAGCAGCAAAACTGTGGTTTGGCTGCCATCTTGCCACTCTTCATTGTCTCAACTTCTTCCTTCAAGAAAGCCAGTTTCTTCATTACTATACCTTTTTGGCTTTAAATGCAGCCAAGATGGAAGGAAATCTGAGCTGGTGTTCTGAAGTTGACATGTGAAGCGGACTTTTGAATGTGTATTTTTGGACGTTGAAGTCTCCTTCTATTTAATTTGGGTCTGTGCAGTTTTTCTGCTTTGTATGTCCAGGGCTCCAGTGGCTCAGTTGGTAGAGTCCTGGGCCTGGAGTCAAGAAGGCTCATCTTCCTGAGTTCAAATCTAGTCTCAGACTTATAGTTGTATGACCATGAGCAAGTCACTTAACTGCTTGCCTCAGTTTCCTCATCTGTAAAAATGAGCTGGAGAAGGAAATGGCAAGTCACTCCGGTTATCTTTTTTTTTTGTTTTTTTTTTTTTTGCTTTTTTTGTTGAGGCAGTCGGGGTTAAGTGACTTGCCCAATCACTTAGTGACTAGTAAGCTAGTAAATGTCAAGTGTCTGTGGCCAGATTTGCACTCCAGTTATCTTTGCCAAGAAGACTCTAAATGGTGTAACAGAGAGTTGGATGTGACTGAACAAAATATCCAGGGCTCGTCCACTTGACTCTGCACACAGTAGGTACTTAATAAATGATCATTAAAATGCCTTGTGTTAAATTGAATTTAAAACTCATCTCTAAAAGCTTTGTTCTAAAAGAATTTCTTATTAAAACATAAAATTTTGTTCCTCTTTGGAAATAAAGGACTCTAGTGGAATGACACTGGTGATGCTTGCAGCAGCAGGAGGACAAGACGACCTACTCAGGCTCCTTATCAAGAAAGGAGCTAAAGTTAATGGTAGACAAAAAAATGGAACCACTGCTCTCATTCATGCAGCTGAGAAGGTTGGTTACTTTTCAATGCAGTGGATTCAATTTAGTGATCTTTGTAGGGGCTGACTGCCATTGAATTCAGGAAGACGTTGCTTTTGTAAGACTACCTCCAAAATGTCAGAGTCACATGTATCTTTCTAGTCTATATTGAAATGACTGTTGCTTAGTCTGTTAATACTATCTACTTTATATTAAGTTATAAAACATCTAGTGAACCAAGGAGCAGTTAATGAAATACTCAAAATAATAACTCCCAAAAGAACCTATGGTACCAGATAGTATTACTTAAAATAAATCTCTCCATTAGAAGCCAGCATGTTTTATAAATGAAAATAAAATCCTAAATGAAGCTGTTATGTGTAATGGACAATTGGTTGGGACTGATTTTGGTTTATATTTCTTATTGCCAAATCATTAACAAAATTATTAATTTTTGACCATTAATTACAAAAGTAATATATTTGTAATTTTAGTTTGACTTTTCTCTTCTTTTCAAAGAACTTTTTAACTACAGTGGCTATTCTTTTGGAGGCTGGAGCTTTTGTGAATGTTCAGCAGAGTAATGGAGAAACTGCTTTAATGAAGGTAATATTTTTTTTCACATAGAAGAACACATAATACTATAAATTAGATGTTAGTATGGAAAGAGAACAAATAAAAAGATAAGAAATACCTACCCTTTAAGGCAGAAGGATCAAATGTAATAGCAATATGAAAGTTAACATCCACCATAATACTTAAAATACCAACAATGAGGAGGTTGTTGAAGTATTTAGAATTTTTGGAGGCAAAGAGGATTAATCTAGGAAGATATTATAGAGGAGATTTTATTAATAACTGTTTTTGTATCATATCCTTTCCCCCTTCCCTACCCAGCAAGTCATCCTTTATAACCAAGAATAAAAAATTCAGGGTGAGAAGAAAAGCATTTCAACAATATATCATTGTATCTGCAAGGTCTGACAGTATATTCAGTGTCCCATTTCCATAGTCCCTCACCTCTGGAAAGAAGAAAAGATAACATTTTTCTCAATCTTTTCATTTCGGTATAACTTGGTCATTGTAATTTAAATAGTGCTCATTTTCAGAGGTTTTTTTTTCTTTCCTTTTACATTGTGGCAGTTATTTTGTATATTGTTTTCCTGGTTCTGCTGATTTCCTTCTGCATCAATTCACATATCTTCCCAGGTTTCTCTGAATTCTGCATATTCATTGCTTCTTACAACACAGTAATTAATATTCCATTGTATTCATATGCCAGAGTTTGCTTAGCAGATCTACAGTTGTTAGACATCTTTGATTCCAGTTCTTTATTATCACCAGGACTGCTATAACTTTTTTTTCCCCGTTCTTAACAAACACCAGATCAGACAGGCAATTCCATATGCAGAGTAGAACAGAAAAAGAAAACTGGATATGAGACTGATTCCCTCTGTTTTGTGTAATAGGCACATCCAGCATGTGAGTGTGTTCAGATCTATCTTGCTTTCCTGTGTTTCCTCCTCTGTGCATGTGAAAAAATGCTTCAGTGATGCTCTTTTTCTTTTTGGCAACTCTATTGCTATGTCACTGTTCTCCCCACCTTTCCCTAATTTGGGAAAAGAAAAAGAAAAAACACTTAATAAAAATGTAGTCACTATAATTTTGGTGTATATAGAAGTTTTCTTTTTGTCTTCATGTGCTCTGAATATAGGCCTTGTGGTGATCTCTTAATAGAGATGATTATTAAGCATTTTTAAATTTTTTTGATGGTTGCATTCATTTTAATTTTATTTTTATTTTCAACATTTATTTCTTTAAAAAATTTTGGAATTCCAGTTTCTTTCCTTCCCTCCTTCCCCTCCCCATTGAGAAGGAAGAAATGTGATATTAATTATACATATGATATTATACATGTCAAAACATCTTTTCATGTTAGCACAATAACTTTTAGTGTGTTCTGGTATGCTCCAGGGTGGTAGAGTGAAAGCGATACTGGATTTGGAGTCAGTCATTTTACATAAGGCGTTTTGTGATCCCAGAGTTGCCAGTGCACTCTCTGCCAAAGCTGCTTTCTATACTTCTGTTATTTATATATACTGTATATCCATACATTCACATTGTCTCCCCCATTAGACTGTTGATTCCTTGAGGGCATGGACTGTTTTAATTTTGTTTTTGTATCCCCAGAGCTTAGGCAAAGTGTTTGGTACACATTAGGAGCTTAATAAAACCTTTATGACTGATTGAAATCCATTCTCTGCAACTTACTGCCAGTTGTAACCTTAGGCAAGTCACTTGGTCTTTTTAGGCCTTATTAATTCATCTATAAAATGAAGGGGTTGTACCAAACAGTATCCAAGGTTCTTTCCAGATCTAAATCTGTGATGTTATAATTCTGTCACTTTTGTTCTCAGAAACTAACAGTGGTTCCCAACAGTTATTCAAATCAGATTCATAATCATAGGTTGCATATCTCTCCATCTGTTAATCCTCATTTCCAAAATTTAACTGCCTTCCTTTACTGGTAAATCCTATTTTATCATTTCAGCTAAAAAAATTTAAGACTTAGGCATAAGATGATCTGTCATCAACTTGCAAATTTCCTTCATGTTATTTCTCCTACTTACATTGCCTTCCCAACAGCCTTTCCAACTGTGTGAATATGCTATAAATTTTTTATAGCAGCTAGGTGTGCCAGTGGATAGAGTGCCAGGCTTGATATTAGGAAGACCTGAATCTCACATTTCGTAGTTGTGTGCCCCTGGGCCAGTCATTTAACCTCTGTTTGCCTGACATCACCTGCCTTACAGGGTTGTTGTGAGGACCAAATGAGAAAGTATTTATAAAGTGCTTAGCACAGTATCTGGCAAGTAGTAGCCATGTAAATGCTAGCTATTATCATTTGTTATTAATACTTTAATGTTTTTGCCAGTTTTTTATTTGAGTATAACCAATGAGAATGACCTGATGAAAAGTTGCTGGGTTTTGCAAGCATTCTCCCGAGTCCCACCAGATCTAGAGTCTGCTGTGTTTAGGCTCATAAAATAGAGAAGACCTGGAAATTGCAATTATACTCAGACTCAGGAGTTTCTTCAAATTAAGATTCTATGAATCAGTATTGAGCTTTGTATTTTTCAAATAGTATCTATAAACATGCAGATTATAACAAACTGTTAGCAAGAGCAAAACCTACGAATGAAGAATACTTATGTTAAATCACTAATTGCTTCTTAAAAATAACATATCAGTCTCAACAATTACAATTCACCTCTTAGTAATTTATTTCATCATAAGATCATAGGCTTTAGAGCCTGTGTAACAAAAGTCATCTGGTCCAATCCTTTCAATTTATAGTTGAATAAACTGAAACTTAGGTGATTTATTAATTTATTAATAATTTGCCCAAAATCACCCAAGGAGTAAGTAGCAGAGCTGAAAGTCCAGCAGTGGTCTTCTGACTCCAAATTCAGGGTTCTTTTGATTCTACTGAAATGCTTCAAATGTTATTAAGTAACTATTATAAGTTAAGTAGAATATGTGTGTGTAGATAGCTATAGATAGATATATGTACTTACTGTGGCAAATGTACAGAAGGTCATCTAAATACAGATTGTATCTGATATACATACATTACAGGGCCTCTCTATCTTATCCAAATGGATTTTCTTTTTAAAATTGCTTTGTACACTTCTAGGGATTTGCTCTTTGCTGTTCTGTGGTACTACAGAAGTGCTGTGTTTGTGGACTTCAGAAAAACCTGGAAAGATTTATATGAACTGATGTTAAGTGAAGTGGGATCATTGTACACAGTAACAGCAACATTGTGCAGTGACTAACTTTGATAGACTTAGCTCTTCTCAGCAATGCAAGGATCTAAGACAGTTCCAAAAGACTCATGATGGAAAATGCTGTTCACATCCAGAGAGAACTACAGAGTCTGAATGCAGATCAAAGCATACTATTTGCTCTCTCTCTTTTTTTAAATTTTGTTTCCTCTTTCTCATGGTTCTTTCCATTAGTTCTAATTCTTCTTTACAACATGATTAATATGAAAATATGTTTGGAAAAAAAATACTATAATTTGTTTCCAGATAGGAGAAAAGCAACAGACTATATGAAAATATGTTTGGAAAAAAAATACTATAATTTGTTTCCAGATAGGAGAAAAGCAACAGACTAGCTGTTTAGACACCATTAAAGCCATGACCTACTTAGGGAAAGGATAACCTAGAAATAGTGTTTTTAATAAGTAGGTAGGCTTTTTTGTATTTTGTCATCTTCAAGGGTGCTTTGTTATCAACTTTGAATTTCAAATGGTTCTCACCTGTAATTTTTTTCTCATTAATTACTTTTTTATGAAATATATGTATATATCACATACATATAATATATATGTGTGTGTGTATAAACAGGAGGTCCATATGAAAGGTAAATATAGGTTACCATAAATACAGGAAGGGTTTTTAAATTAGTAACCTAAATTAGTAAAATTTTTATTTTCATCTAAAATAAATTAGTTTTCTTCAGTTAGGTGCCTAGTTCAATGAAGATCAATATTTCATTTACTTCCAAAGTTTAATTAGGTTTTTCATATAATTTTTTAACTGGAAATATTTTAGAAAGCAGATGATGTGTAGTCCACTGTCTGTATTTTCCAAATGAGGAAGCCAAGGGCCAGAGAAGTTTGATTTAGCTAAGTACATATAGTTCCTTAGGAGCAAAGCCAGGATTAGACCCAGGTCTTCTCACTATCTAAGTAAAATATTTTATTCGTTTTTGCCAGTTTGTTTATTCATTTATGCAAATATTCTGTCTGATAGGAAAAACCTTCCCCTCAAAAAGTAAACTGGAGAAACATGAGTAAGATAAATAAGATGACAGTGACATAGTCGTAGCCTGAAATTCATTCACAAGAAAGAAAAATCACCTACATGTTATTCTGCACTCTACTCTAGCTGCAAGGAAACTGTCTTGACCCAATTTATCCATCTTTTACAGTGCTTCCTGAGGTTTGCAATATTCAGGTCAGTGAGGGGCAGAGTCTCTTTTTCAATCACTGCTGTGATGAATATGAAATTATTTTCTGATCCTACATAGTATAGTTAAAGAATCACAGTGAAACCTAGTCTAGCAAGAATGCTTTTGTCAAGGATTGGCTCTTTTGGCAGCCATGAGGGTGATATTTAGTGGAGTATAGTAGAAAGAAAATCTTTGGAGTACTTTCCAAGAAGATCCAGCACTTGGTACCTTTGTAGCACAGTGGAGCGCTAGAGGGCTCAATCTTGGGTCGGAAAGCCCTGAGTTCAAATCCAGCCTCAGATACTTAGTAGCTTTGTGATAATGGCTAAATCACTCAACCTCTGTCTGCCTTAGTTTCCTTATCTGTAAAATGGAGATAATAATAGCACATACTTCAAGGGTTGTTAAACAAGGACAAAATGAGATAATGTTTGTAAAGTATTACAAACCTCATAGTGCCATAGATGCTAGCTATTATCATTATTATTAGTAGTATTAGTATTATTGACAAAAATATTTTTGAAGGCCTCCTGTTTTGAAGAGTTTTTCAGTCAAGTATAAACTGAGTAATGCAAACAGGTCCTTATATTTGACATTGTATACTAATGCAGAACACCCTGTCCTTGCCCTGAAGAAATTTTTTTACCTTTAAATGTCTTCCAAGAGATTCTGTTTAAGAAAAAAAATTGCAGATTGCATATATAATTACTTGCTTTAATGTTTTTCCTGTTACAGGCTTGTAAAAGAGGAAACTCGGATATTGTAAGGCTTGTGATTGAATGTGGAGCAGATTGTAATATTTTGTCAAAACATCAGAATAGTGCTTTGCATTTTGCTAAGCAGTGTAATAATGTATTGGTATATGACCTGCTGAAGAGTCACTTAGAAACGTAAGTATGAAATAAAGATGCTTAAAGCTATGTTTGTTTAGGGACTTTAGAGTGGTTATTTTAGTTGCAAAATATTTTTAAGAAGTATAATTTCAGAGGCAGAGCCAAGTTGGAAGAATAAAGAAGCATTAAGCCAAGCTCTCCCAAATTCCCCTCCTAACAACTTTAAAATAACACCTCAGATTGAATTTTGGATCAGTAGAATGAACAAAAGTTCAACTGAAACAATTTTCCAGTCCAAGACAACTTAAGAGGTCAACAGGAAAGTCCTGTCTCACCTTGGGTGGAGGTGAGGTGATCAGGAGCACAGTGAAGACTGTGCAGCAAAAGCCATGCAATAGGCCCAGAGGTGGGCCTTGGAGGCAGCTTCATTGGCAGCAGTAGCAACTTTGGGAACTCTCAGACTACAGATGGTGTAGGGTTCAGACAACTGGTCAGAAGGAGATTGCATGGGACCCTTTGCTGCCATTGGCGTCAGGGCTCTGTTGCATTGCCCATACATAGTTCTGGGTCATGGTGCCAGAGCCAAAAAGAGCTATAGTACTTGTATCTGCAGTGGAGCAGGGGCCCAGTCATGGTTCCAAGGTGGAGAGGAGTATTTGTGGTTGCTCATGGGGGAGTAGAGATCGTCATCTCAATTCCTAGACAGAGGGGAGCACTATCAGGAGAGCAGAGCACCTAGTCACCATTCCAGGGCCAGGAGGAGTGCTAGAGCTGGTGACTATAGGGAAACAAGATCTCTGCCTGGGTAAAGACCAGAGCACAGGCTAAGAGATCAGTGACCAAACTCTCCTTAGATCATACAAACTAGGAAACATGGAAGCTTGGGACAGTGCCCCCTCCAGTGGAGCAGAGCACAACTTCAACATTAAATTAAGAGTCAGTAAATAGGCTGGAAAAAATGAACAAGGAATCTAACCATAGAAAGTTACTATGGGTAAGAGGGAAGATCAAAATACAAACTCAGAAGAAGAAAATTAATTCAAAACAGCTACATGCAAAGCATCAAAGAAAAAAAAGTGAATTGGTCAGAGGTTTTTAAAAAAAAAAAAGAATTCCAGGAAGAGCTTTAAAAAGTATTTTAAAAATCACATAAGAGATAGAGGGAAAATTGGGATGAGAGGGATGTAAGAAAATCATGCAAAAAGAGTCAACAACTTGGTAAAGGAGACACAAAAATATACTGAAGAAAATAGCACTTATTAGTAATTCCAATTCTATATAAACTATTTGGAAAAATAGGCAAAAGGAGTCCTACCAAATTTCTTTTATGACATAAATATGGTGCTGATGCCTAAACCAGGAAGAGCAAAAGTAGAAAGAAAACTACAGACCAATTTCCCTAATGAATGTTAATGTAAAACTTTTGAATAAAAAACTGACCAGGAGATTGCAAAGATCATACACTATAACCAGGTGGGATTTATACCAGGAATGCAGAGATGGTTCAGTATTAGGAAAACTATCAGCGTAATTGACCACATCAAAAACAACACAAATCACATGATTATTCATCAATAGATGCAGAAAAAAGCTTTTGACAAAATATAACACTCATTCCTATTAACAATCTTGAAAAGCATAGGAATAAATGGAGTTTTCCTTAAAATGGTAAGTAGTACATGTCAAACCATCAGCAAGAATTATCTATAACAGAGATGGGCTAGAAATCTTTCCAGTAAGATTAGGGGTGAATCAAGGATACCCATATCGCCAGTATTATTCTTAGAAATGCTCTAGCTATACCAATAAGACAAGAAAAAGAAATTTAAGGAATTAGAATAGGTGATGAGGAAACAAAACAGTCACTCTTTGCAGATGATATGATGTTATGCTTACAGAATCCTAGAGAATCAACTAAAAACTCGTTGAAATAATTAATAGCTTCAGCAGAGTTGTAGGATATAAAATAAGCCCACATGAGTCATCAGCATATCTATATATTTCCACCAGAGTCCAGCAGCAAGAGATTCTAGCAAGAGAAATTCCATTTAAAATACCCACAGACAATATAAAATACTTGGGAGTCTACCTGCCAAGATAAACCTAGGAGCTAGATGAAGATAATTACAAAACACTTTTCACACAGATAAAGCCATATCTAAACAATTGGAAAAATATTAATTGCTCATGGGTAGGCTGAGCCAATATAACAAAAATGACAATTCTGCCAAAATCAATTTACTTATTCAGTGCTGTACCAATCAAATCACCAAAAAAAAAATTATAGAGCTAGAAAACATAAAATTCAGTTGGAAGAACAAAAGGTGAAGAATAATCAAAGAACATTAGTGAAAAAAATGTGAAGGTGGTTTAGCAGTAACAGATTTCAAACTATTACAAAGTGGTAATCATCAAAACAATCTGGTACTGGCTAAGAAATAGACTAGTGAATCAGTGGAATAGATTAGATATATAATAGTAACAAATAATCTTAGTAATCTAGTGTTTGACAAACCCAAAGATAAGATTTTCGAAAAGAAAGCACTATTTGACAAGAATTGCTGGGAAAACTGGAAAGCAGTTTGGCATTAACTAGGTGTAAACCAACAGCTCACACTTTATACCAAGGTAAGGTCAAAATGGCTACGTGATTTAGACATAAAGGGTGATATCATAAGCTGACCAAGGAAGCATGGAATATTTTAGCTTTCAGATATGTGGATAAGGAAAGAATTTATGATGACCAAACAAGAAATAAAAAGCATTAAGGGATATAAAATGGATAATTTTGATTATATCAAATCAAAAAGGTTTTGTACAAACAAAACCAATGCAGCCAAAATTAGAAGGAAAGCAGGAAGCTGGGGAAAATTTTTATAACAGATTTTTCTGATGAAGGAGTCATTTCTCAAAACATATAGAGAACTGAGTCAAATTTGTAAAAATACAAGTCATTCCCCAATTGATAAATGGCCAGAAGACATAAACAGGCAGTTTTCAGAGGAAGAAATCAAAGCTTTTTATAGTCATATAAAAAATGCTCTAATTCACTATTGATAAGAGAAATGCAAATTAAAACAGCTCAGAGGTACCGTCTCACACCTATTAGATTGGCTAATATGACAGAAAAGGAAAATAACAAATATTGGAGAGGGTGTGGAAAAACTGGGACACCAATGCACTCTTGGTGAGTTGTGACCTGATCCAAACATTCTGGAGAACAGTTTGGTTGTATGCCCAAATAAAACTGTGTACACCCTTTGATCCAACAATACCATTGCTTGCCCTGTACCTCAAAGAGAGATCAAAGAAAAAGAAAACATATGTGTACAAAAATATTTATAGCAGCTCTTTTAGTGGTGTTAAAAAATTGGCAATTGGGGGGATGCCCATCAATTAGGGAATGGCTGAACAAGTTATGGTATATGATTGTGCTATAAGAAATGGTGATCAGGATGTTTTTAGAAAAGCCTGGAAAGACTTACATGAACTGATGCTGAGTGAAGTGAACAGAACCAGGACAACATTGCACATAGTAACAACATTGTACCATGATTAACTATAAATAACTTATTTATTCTCAGCAGTACAGTGGTCGGCAATAATATGATGAAAAATGCTACCTACCTCCAGAGAAAGAACTGATAAGAGTCTGAATGCAGATTAAAGCACACTCTTTTAACTATCTTTATCATGGGTGGGGGGAGAGTCTATGTTTTATTTTGCAACATGGCTAATATGGAAGTGTTTTGCATTATTCTGTGTGAAGAATTGATGTCAAGTTGCTTGCCTTCTCAAGGACAGGAGTGACAAGGGAGGGAGAGAATATGGAATTCAAGGTTTTAAAAAAAGAATGTTAAAAAGTTTTACTTACATGTGATTGAGAAAAAAATAATAAAAATTAAGTTAAAAGAAATCAGATTGCATTACTTTCAAGTACATACAGTCATTTCTTAGAAAAGAATTTCAAGAAGGTCTGCTATAGTGATTAGATTGTGTGACTCATTTGTAGAGGGCAAGAGTTAACGTTTGTATATACTTGGCTATTTGCTGAAGTCCTTAAAAAAGTTAAAAGGCCCTGAAAAGTTTCCTCTAAACTTTAAATGTTCCTTTATAACTTTATTGAGGCTATTTATTAGCAGACCCTTTTTAAAAAGTACATAAATTAAACTTCTGAATAGTTCAAATTTGTATTGATTTTAGTGTTCCTACTTAGGCATTTAGAACCTCTGGGTCACTCCTCCCTCAAATTTGGAATTATTACTTGGATTAATAATAATAGATAAAACCTACTAAGGTGGTAACACAATAGAAATTTGAACATCTTCCCGTTAAGAGTTTGTTTCACTAATAAGTATTATTTGACTACACTATGAAATATGGAAAATTAATCTTTTAAGTATTATATTTCAGTCAACTTTTAAAAGATGTAAACTTTTAATGGATTCTAATGTAGAAAAACTTGTCCAGATTAACATTGTTGACTGTGTCTTCTCTTTCTCTCTGTTCAGACTCTCAAGAGTGGCAGAAGAAACCATAAGGGACTACTTTGAAGCCCGGCTCGCCCTCCTAGAGCCCGTGTTTCCAATAGCATGTCACCGCCTTTGTGAAGGTCCAGACTTTTCAACTGATTTCAATTACAAACCACCACAGAACATACCAGAAGGTGCCCCTTTATGGTTTTCTTTTGTGTGAACTGTATATTGCAGTAAAAATATTATCTGAATGGGATCTTTCTAAATGATTCAGTCATTTAATATTAGAGTTCAATCCCAAAGGTATTTCTAGGAGTATATACTTTATGAGAAATGGAAGAAAACAGATTAGTAACGTAGTTGTCTAGACCAAGTATAACCAAAAGAGGACCATGCTGGAGGTGGCATAATTTTGAGGTTATTGAGAGTTTGATTCTGAAGTTATCTAAAAAGGGGAAAATGATAAAAGGCATGGAAAAAATCTGAGACCTTACTAAAAAAAAAAAGCAGCTGATACGACATTGATAACTATCAACCCATATGCTACATTCCCTTATAAAATTATCATGACAGTAAATTTTACATGCATTGAGGACATTCTTGAAAATGATAAGATGTGGGAACAGGCAAACTTCTTCTGTAAAGAATACAGTGACCATGTTTTTAACAGTCATGCTGTTGACTGAAAGGTCTAAAGGTTACGAGATTCCATTGCACTTATTTTTTGGCTACAGAAAGCATTTGATCTTGTATGGCAAAATACCACTCTGTTCCAACAGGTGCCTCCCATAATGTGGTGATCATACAGAGTTCCTTGAAAGATTCAAGAACAGAAATTACTGTTTGGTATAAGGCTTAAAATGAAAAGGTATTGTGCTTGCCATAGATGTGTACCACCACTGTGGAATGTCCATTGTAGCGTCCAAACTAAAGAGCCCTTCCGCAGAGATGATGTATGTGGTCCTCTAGATATTTCTTTTTGTAGATGCCATTATTTTGATATCTTCAGCCCAGAGCATTGCAAAGCCACCTAAATGAGACCCATAATTACTCTTAAAGTGTTTTCCCATTTAGGAATAACCAAGTGGTGAAAGAATGCTTCATTAGACTATAATTTGCAGTTGGATGGGTAATTCATGGAGCTGGTCTGTTGGTATCTGTGTTTTGGACAGACACTATAGACAGTTGATTAGAGTTGAACAAGAGAAGAGCAAGTTGAATTGCCTTTGGGACATTTCATATTTCTTTGACTGATCCTAGAAATGAAGGGCCCTCTTTTTTTTTTTAAACATTGTTAATCTTCTGGTGGTGTATATCTATGAGTCATGGAACACTATAGTTTATGAAGAATTGAAGTTGAGGATCATCCAAAGGGCAGTGGAGAGTATGGTGCATGGTGAGTGTGAGGATGCTATAATACATTGCAAATCCAATTATGCAGTAGAAATTATGTAAAAAATGTCATCAGAGAAATATATGACTAGAAAAAAAAGGTAGGCTATATTCATAGTAAGAGTGAGAGATGGGGCAGCTAGGTGGCGCAGTGGATAGAGCACTAGCGCTGGAGTTGGGAGGACCTGAGTTCAAATTTGGCCCTAGACACTTACTAGCAGTGTGACCCTGGGCGAGTCACCTAACCCCAGTTGCCTTAAAAAAAAAAAGTGAGAGATAGTTGATAGTTATCACTTAGTGTGCATATTTTTGATTTCAGTGCTGTCCAGAGAATGTGAGGAAGCCTCCTAGTACATTGGTTGAACAAACCAGATTTATTGGAGAGCAGAGATAAGAATTGTATAGTATTGTAAAGCATGGACAGGTTGAGATTTACTGCATTGGAAGCAGTATCTACAGTGATAATAACAGAGTTTTATTGAAGAATTTCTCCTGTATGTCCTTTAAGACCAAATTTAATGCATAATTAAAGTTAGGTAGTTAAGTGGGTAGAGTACTGGACCAGGAATCAGGAAGACCTGAGTTCAAATCCAGCCTTGGATACTTGCTAGCTGTGTGACCCTGGGCAAGTCACTTAACCTCATCTATAAAATAGGGATGATAATTATAGCACCTACCTTCCAGGGTTGTTGTGAGGGCTAAATGATATAATATTTATCAAGTACTTTGCAAATCTTACCATATAAATGCTAGATGTTATTTCTAATTGGATATTGAAATGATTAAAATTTTTCTTTACATAACTCGAAGGAGTAAAAATGAATAGGATATAAACATGGTGGATTTGAGTAATCACAGTATTTGGTTAAACATTTAATTATTATTAGTTTTTATTTTGTTTATTTGACTTTCTGGAGATTAGAGGTATTACTTGAGATAAGGGAGGAGTGATGAAAACAATGCCAACCATCATGTTAGTAGTGCCCAATAAGCGTTGTTTAAAGAAGAATACAAAGTGAAAATTGACAAATTACTATAAAAGGTGCCTGGTGATGAATTTTCCTGAAAATTCACTGGCCTTTCATTGAAGACTATATTGTTAACTGGAAAAATAAGCAGGAAAGGGAAAAAACAGAGTTGAGTAATTGACCTACCTTTGATGATAGCTGCAGCCTCCCTTTAATAATTGTTTTATGAGTAACCATGAACTCACCCTCCCCCCCCAAAAAAAATTTTTTTTTCTCCTGTTAGCCAGTTTTATGGCAGTAAGCCTCTCTGTACTTAGTAGCTGTGTAGGCCTCAGCCAGTAGATATAGTCTTTTACCAAGACCATACAGCATACTGGATTGTCTTTTAAAGAAATTGCCCAGTCCATTTAACAGCCCCAAACTTCTCCCTGAAATGAAGGCCTCTATTTTTAACACTACTGTCTTTTTGAAAATGTCATATGACTATTATATATGCCAGGGTCTCTAAAGAATTGAAGTTAAGAATTACCCAAAAAGGCAGTCGAAGGAGACATGTAGATGTGAGTAGGCCATAATCTGTTACAAATGAGAAATTATACAGATAAAGCTTGTGCAAGATATTATAAGGAAAAATGTATGACAGAAAACAAGATGGCTGGTTATATAGGGAGATTAAAGAATTATTGATAGCTTATGGTCTCCAATTCCGGCTTTGTAGAACTTGTCAGTGGTTGTGCTGTCTTGGCACAGCTTTTAAGGACCCAAAGGGTCCTTTGTCTCTGTGATCCTACTGTTTAGAAGTAAACCCCAAGGACACCAAAGACAAAGAAAAGTCCCATATACAACAGAACATTCATAACAGCTTTTTTTTTTCTTGTTGAAAAGTACTGGAAACAAAGTAGATTACTGTTGATTAACAATGGCTAAACAAATTGTGGGACGTAGATATAATGGAGTATTACTAAACTGTAAGAGATGATGAATGTGAAGAATTTTAAAAAGCATGGGAAGATTTAGATGAACTGACACAGTACAGTAAGCAGAATCAAGATAATATTCATGCTTTTAAGCTACTAAAGCTTAAAAAACTACAGTAAGATTTTTGGAACACCCTGTATATATATGATGGCTACAGTGTAAATGGAAAGAATGAAAAACTGAACTGAATGCTTCATCATGCGTCTGTATGTGTTGTCTCTCCATTAGGATGTGAGCTTTTTAAGAACTAACTTTATTATTTGTATCCTCAGCACTTAGCATAATGTTTTGCACATAGTAAATGCTTAATAGATACTTTAAAATTCATCAGGTTATCCCCAAAGAAGAGATGATAAAATGTACATATGTATATATGTGTATGTATATGAATATGTATACAGAGATATATGTATACATATGTACACACACACACACATATATATATATATATATACACACACACACTCTCATACATACGTACACACACACAGATACAGAGACAGCGAGGATCAGATTTGGTTGAAGTGTTGGTTAGTTTTGCTGAACTATTTTATTTTCTTCCCTTTTATTTTATTACATGGGAGAGGTGGACTTCTGGATATGGAGAGGAGGGGACGAAAGATACTTTGGGATGGAGGTGATATGTGTGTGTGTACACACACACACGCACACAAAGGATATCAGTGAAATTAAATAACAAGGAAAATAAAGGGAAAAAAAAGTAGTATTACCTCCATACTACGATGGAGATGTTAGGTACAGCTTTTAATTAATTAACAATAAAATGTTGAGTTAATTTCCAGAATAGAAATTGCATTTTAAATCCATTCATTAATTCAGTGAACGTGTTAATTCAACAGGTTTTTAAAACTAAATTGTGTACTTTTTGTTGTTTATTCTTAAATCAGCATTTTCAACTTTTTAAAAATAAATTATATTTATTATTCTTTTAAAGCTCAGAATCACTTTTTTCCCTACATTTGTCCAGTTGATAGTTTCTATTTAAATGCTTTAACAGAGAAGGAAAGAATGCTTTTGACATTAGGAAATAGAAGTTCTAGTTTCTCCTACTTAGTAGGTTTATGACTGGTAAATCACTTCCTTTCTCTTGGTCTATTTCCTTGTTTGAAACCAGAATGTGAAACCTTGCCTATTTAAAGTCATGAACATAATGGGATGGAGAATGGCTGTAGGATCCCTCCCCAGTACTTGTTGTGATTCTGTGACTTAGATTTTTAAGCATTGTTTGGGCTGCAGATGAGTAAAGGTTAATGTTAATGATAGCAATTTTCAAATACTGTCAAGTTTGTTGTACAGAATAATTAGTGCAAAAATGCTGACTATTGCCCAGTGCAACAAAATAGCTTTGAAATGAAAACACATCTCATTGGGAGGCCAGTGATGCTGTATGCACAGACTGAAACAAAATGTTTTTTTCAAGTAAAGGGTAAAAATGGTATCAAGTAATGAATCTACCAAATTTGTTTAAGTCCCAAAAGTCATTTTTAGGCAATACACAGTAGCCTGGCACTGGTTAATTAAGTACCTAAGTAGCAGTGCTGCTGTCAGAGTCAGACCTGATTTCAGCTCATGATTCATTTAGGGGTGGCTGTGACTAGACCAGTTACTTGACCTCCCAGCTTCGAGTTACTCTTCTGTTAAATGAAAGACTTGGCCTTGGTGCTGGTAGGTCAGTGTGTGGATCCTTTGACTTCCCTTGTACAGACAGGGAGGTAAAGGCCCTTCTCAGGCTTCACATTGGTTAGACAGCGCAGCAACTTTTCCTGGTTTGCCCTGCCATGAAGGAGGAAGCGTGATGTATAGTGGGGTCTGCAAAGGGATAAAGATGTGGCATATTTCTTTTGTCTTCCTCAAGTGTTGTGTAAATTTCACGGCAAAAAAAAGTCAAGGGGTGAAAACTTGATTAGATATTTTGAGGATTGTTGTGCTCTTTTCAGCATTAGTTTCAGGGCAGAGAATTTTATTTAGTGGACTGTGAGCCAGAGAGAGAATTAGAGTGAATTGTTTATAGTAGCATTTTATGGTAGCTTAAATTTAAAGCATTTAAACTTTTGATGCCACTATGATTTGCTCATGATTTTGCCTGTTCGTAGTTAATATATTTTTAAGGATTTCTTTTCTCATTCCAAAAAGCAACTGTTTAAAATCATTTGCTTTCTCCTTAAACCCCTTACTGCCTCCCTACGTACAGCAAATAGTCTCTAGCTTCACTGAGCTTAAGGCTATCTAATGGGAGTTTGCTCAGTTCCCCTCCTCCATTCCTCAAAACTTGTGAGCATTGTTATCCATTTTTTCCTCCTGTCTCAGGAAAAGGTATCTCTAATCCAGCTATTATGTACCCTTTATTGCATCCCCTTCCACTTTCTCTAGGACCTTATTCCAGTAATCATTTTCCCCCTCTCTCCCATGTGTCTTATTTTATTTTAAATTTTTCTTTATTTTCAAAAAACTTATTTTGTTTTAATCGGCCAAGATCCACACTCTCATTCTTCCCCTAACACCCCCACCCCCCTCCCCAAATCCCCCATCCCCTGCCCCACACCCAGTTGGAGTTCAAGAAGAAGAGGAGGACTGAATATGTAGATTCGGTAGCAATATGCATTAGAGATAACTGAACCCTTGGAAGCCCATTAGGTTTGGTGGGAGCATAGACACTGAAGACAGCTTGGAGGTACACCTGTGCTTGGTGGTAGAATGTAATAGAATGAGAAGAACCAGTAAGATGGGGGAGAGAGAGTATTCCTGGAGAAGAGAGGTGGTCAGTAGTGTCAGAAGCTGAAGGAAAATCAAGAAGGATGAAGGCTTTTTTTTTTTATTAGGAAAGTTTATCGGTCATCTTGGAATAAAAGGTTTCGGGTGTGTTTGTGTCCAATTTCCAGAATTGGAAGCCAGATTGCAAGAGGTTGGGAAAATGAGTGGGAGGTAAAGAAGTGAAGGCAACAAATGTGATATCTTTTTCTAGGAATTTGGCTGTAAAAGGGAGTAGTATGATAATATAATAGCTTCAGGGGTGGGGGTCAAAGTGAAGGGTTCTTAAAGCTGCATTTATAGGTAACAGGGAAGAAAAGCCAGTGAATAAGAAGAGATTGAAGTGAAAGAGAATAGGTGATTTGACAGGGCAAGGTGATGTAAAAGATGGAAGGGGGTAGTGTGGAGGAGTTGGTGTTGACAAAGAGAAGGGCCAGCTCAGACATTGGAATGAAGGAAAAAATTGGATTTGATATTGAGGTTTGTTTAAATGATAAAGAGCGAACTCGGGGTGAATGAGCTTATTTTCTCAGTATAGTAAAAGGTGAAGTCCTCTTCTGGGAGACATTTAGAATGCTTCCAAACTTCATTCCATTTTGATGTGTCCTCTCTTTATGTGTTGTCCATTGAGATGAATTGACTGGCTGTCTGTTCCACAACTCAGTATTCTATCTTTCTTTTGTCTCTCTCCTCATACTCCAGCTCTTGACATCATCTGTAGTTTTCTTCAAAGATCAACTCAAATGTTCCCTCTCACACAAGGCTTTCGCTAAACAGTTTAAGTTTTACAAAAAATTGTCCTGTGAAATTGGTTGTATACATATCATTATTAAAATTTTATAAATAAGGAGGCTCATCCTTAAAGAAGTTAACTAACTTACCCGTGGTCACATCACTGGGAACTGTGGGATTTGAAAGCACACAATCTGATTTCAGTAACCTGCTTTACTTAATATCCAAACTCTGCACAGGCATGTGCAGTGGATGTCTCCAAGTAGGGGGTGTTAACATTCAAATAATTTTTAACACTGCTGTCCTTCTTCAATATTTTCTTTTTGTTTTATTTTTGACTCTTCCTTTTCCTTCACCATTCATTTCTAGCCAATCATCTCCCAAGTTCTGTGGATTCTGCTTTCATACTACCTGACATCCACTCCCATTATGATTTCATTTCCCATTATCACCACTCTAACTCCTTCTTACCATATTCTGGAACTATTACAATTTAGTTTCTTTCCTTCCACCTCCTGCCAGCCACAGAGTCAGGGGGGGAAGAAAGCCCTTGTAACAAGTATTTATGGTCCAGCAAAGTAAATTCTTACATTAGCTATATCCACAAATATTTTTGCCTCGAGTCTGTCAGGAGGTCCTCTGAATGTGGGTTTGTCATTGCATTGATTAGACTTCTTAATTCTTCTTAAGTTTGTCTTTACAGTGTGTTGTTAATTGTATAGTCTTCTGGTTCTGCACGCTTTATTCTGCATCAGTCCTTACAAATCTTCCCAGCTTTTTCTAAAACCATCCTTTTTGTTATCCCTTGTCTTGTTAGCTCAGTAGTATTGTTACATAATGTTTATATCTGTTCTCCAGTTAATGGGCACTCCATTTACAAAAGGAGTTTCTATAAATATTTGCGTGTGTGTGTGCTGTTCCTCTTTTTAAAAATCTCTTTAGGGCATCATCTAAACTTTATTTCTGGCAGATTTATTTCCCAGTAGTTTTTGTTAAATAGTGAGATCTTACCCCCAGTAGCTTGGGGCCTTTGGGTTTATCGAACACTAGACTCTGCTAGATTTGTTTTCTTTTGTAAATTGTGTATTTAAGGTATTCCAATGATAGATATCTCTAGTTTAAATTAGTACCAAATTGTTTTGATGATTATACTTTGGGATTTAGTATTACTTAAGGCCTCCTTCCTTTTCACTTTTTTTTTCATTGTTTTCCTTTAGATTTTTGACTTATGTTTTTCTTAATGAATTTAAACTATAATTTCTAAGAAGATTATGGTGCTTTAGGAGAATTCGCTAATTATTTCATTCTGTGAGTTTGTGTATGAAAAGATTTCATTGTTCTCTTTGTTTTTATTTAGGTTCTGGAATTCTCCTGTTTATTTTCCATGCAAACTTTTTTGGTAAGGAAGTCATTGCTCGACTTTGTGGACCATGTAGTGTACAAGCTGTAGTTTTGAATGACAAATTTCAACTTCCTGTATTTCTGGTAAGATTTGTGTATATGTAACTAAATTAAATTACTTTTCTTGGTCTTTCTAATATCATTTATAAGAGTTAATAGGATTCATGGTATTGTTTAATACTGAAGGACACATTTTTTCCATTTTACAAGTCAATCAGAGTTCTTAGTTAATAGATGTATAGTAAATCCTTGCTTAACCAGTATTTCAAGGAATGAGTAACTAACCATCATTTAATCATAAAAATTGAATTAAATACAAAATCCTAATTGTTTTAGCTTTTATTAAAAAAATTATTTAAACATATTAGTTCAAAATTCAATCTTAGCAAATACCGTGATGAAAATAATTGAGTAATTCTTCGATAACCATTTAGCACTACATACAGAGTAATCATGCTGGACATTAGTTCTTATTCTACTATATAGAGATGTAGAAGGACTAGAAAACTGACTAAAAGTACGCTAAACACAAAGCCCCTTTGCCCCTCTCCTCAGTAAATCTCTGATAAGAAGTTACTTTATCAGAGGCAGCTAAGTGCCGCAGTGGATAGAGCACAGGCCTTGGAGTCAGGAGGACCTGAGTTCAAATATGGCCTCAGTCACATAACACTTGATAGCTGTGTGACTCTGGGCAAGTCACTTAACCCAAATTGTCTCACCCCCCCCCCCAAAAAAGTTATTTTCTAATCATTTGTTTTATCCTCATAAATAACATGGGAACCAAAATCCCCAAATGACATTCATTTTATGGTTCTGGTAATGTGAAGTTTTGCCATACTCTTGAAATATTTTGGCAAAGGAGTTCAGTTATGACTTTCTAGCATCATGAAAACATGGTGCATGTGCATTGCTTATGACTTTTCAAATAATGCTCCAAGATCTGCTTCATAACTTTTCTAAAGTATCTTCATTATGATAAACTTGAATGTTTCTCTTTGATCCCCTTGGATCTGAATCATAATGGAACCTTGCTGTCCTCTGAGTCATTATAAGCTACATAAATAGATTTTTAATGATTTGTTTTTACAGTCTTGGCATACATGGAGTTGTTTTCATATGTGTTCTGATTAATTTTCTTTTGTTGCTTTCTAGGATAGCCATTTTGTTTATTCCTTCAGTCCTGTTGCAGGCCTCAATAAACTTTTTATACGCCTGACAGAAGCACCTTCTGCCAAGGTAAAAGATCTTTTCCTAGCCAAATCAGAATCTCATTTTAAGTATTTGAAAATGATTCCCAACCTATTTGGAAATCCTATCAGTTCCACTTTCCATTTCCATATCTATTCCTGTTACCTAAAGGGCTAACAAGATAAGTTTGCAAAGTTAGCAGAATTTCTTATCTCATTATACAAATATTGAAAACCTACTAATAGAGGCATTCCAGGTGTACCAATCATAATCAATTTCTGGAAAATTAACATTAAATGAAACACTCTTTTGGGGTAGATGCAGCGTTATGATTTGTTGCTCAAGTGATTGTTGAATTACATTACAAGCAGAGTTTTGTAACATGATAATAATGTTCAGTTATACTTGCAGAGTGATGTAGTTATGTACAGTATGCTTGTTTATTTTTCTCCATGATATGTTTTTCTCTTTGAGAGGGAGCAAATACTTATTTATACTAAAAAAAATGACAATTTTGTCTTTCCTTTCATAGGTAAAATTGCTTATAGGTGCATACAGAGTACAATTGCAGTGACCAAAAAAAGGCAGTGATAAGGATCATGATGAAGTTATTTTTGAACCTGATACTGGTTACTTCAGTCTGATAAAGCAGTTTGGAATACTTACTTCTGGCACATCAACACTTTCAAAACAATATTCTGCTGCCTTTCTTTTAAAAGTTTTTTTTTTCTGCAACAGCTTGCTGATTATTATCTGTCATCTGGTATGTTCACTGCGGGGGGTGAGGGGTGGAGTGGGGAATGATACATGGTTATCTGATATTTTGTACAATATAGATGTAAGTATTTGTGCCAATACCTTAAATATTGATTTCCCTTGTTATATCCAGACTGCATATTTTAGCTTTTCCACAATGTGGAGTGGTGCATATAATAATTATTTAAGAAAATTAGATGAAAGATTTTTTTAATCCTGAAATTTTCTACTAGTCTTAATTAATGTTTCTGTGTTTAAAAATGAAATGTAAAACCGTCACATGCATAGATTTAGGGACGTGTGTCACATCTGAAAGTTGCTGCTTCTCTTTTGATGGCTAGACTCTGAGTCACTGAAGATCTAAATACTAATTGGACCTGTTATCTTAGATGTTTCTCTAGGCAGAGTGGTAGACATGTTTAAAAACAGGTCATATTCTAAATTTATTTAGAAAGCATGGAAAAAATTAACTGGGTTAGCTGATTCAGGTTACTCTGTTATAACATCATAAGCATACAGGTTATAGTGAAGATTAATTCCATAAATTTAAAGTTATGCTTTATTCATAGTAATGTATTGAAAGATATTTAGATGATAAATTGGGATGCTTATAGACAAACCAAGAATAGTATTGACCAGATTTGGGGTATTATGAACCTTTTAAAGGGATATAATTTAGCTCTGTGTTTCAAACACTTAGGTAACTTGTTACCTATCTTTGTTCAAATACTTTAATCAGAAAATTTTTTAAATTCAATTGGAAACATTTTAAAATCCCAACTGTGCCTTGCTGTTCTGGTTGTTCCATGGAATTTAGATACCACAATGTGCCTCTATGCTTAGCAAAACTATAGTGAACAAATACTGCTTAATGCTCACTGTTAAAATGGTGTGATTATATTATAAAATACCCTTTTAAGAGCTGATGTTTTGCAACCACTAATCTATTTCATTTTAAGTTATGGGAAAACAGATGAAAGATTTGTTGTTTTTTTTCCTTAGTTTTAGACTAGTTTCTGCAATATCAAACTATTATAGTTTTAATGAAATGTATTTCAATTTTTTGGAATGTCACATTATGCTAAATAAAATGACAACAACAACTCACTTTTATATTTCATTTATCCATTGTTACTTTTCATCCAACTACTGCTTATCTATCCCATATTTTATTTGACATATCAGAATATGTGCTGATAATTCTTTGCAGTTTCAACAAAAATACTTGTTACTATTCATATACTTCTATATCTTAAATCTTAGGACAACAGCAAATACTGTTTTTTTAAAAAATGACACTGTGGTGATGGATACACAATAATTGTTAGAACTGGGCTTTCACAACAAGATTGAAACTTGGTTAAAGGGTCTATACATTTTTATTTTAGAATTCATAAAATCAGTTACCTAAATCATCCATCTCTTAAGGAACCTACAGTCTAGAATGGAAAACATAGAGGTGTTAAAAAATAAATATTGCCACATGTGCTAAGTAAGCTTCAAATCACTGTTGAGAAAAATGGCATAAGAGAAGAAGGGTGACAAAAGTCAGTTTTGCAAAGGGGCTTAGGGAAGATCTCACAGATAAAGTGAATTTAGGCTGGTCTGTCAAGAGCTGACATGGTTTCAGTAATTGGAGAAGAAGTAAGAGGCTATTAAAGTAGAAGGAACAGTGTGAGCCAGAGGCACATATTCTCTGGACATTAAGTAGACAGATTCCATTAAAGACTAATGAGAGATAAGATTAGCCAAGCTACATTAGGACCTGTTGATGACCAAGCTAAGGAAGGAGTTTTCTCCCATCAGATGCCTTTGAGCTGGGAACCCACTGTTTTATAGGTGGCAGAAAAATAGTAATACATTTCTAGACTGTTTCCAGTAAAATGTCAAATGAAGAAGATTCCATTCAACTTGGGAAATGTATGTAGTTGTATTCACAATAGCTTTTGTTCATAAAAATATCTACAAATGGGTGTCACTTTAAAAATGCAAATATCCAGAGAACATTGGAGTAAACACTGTGAATTTGGGGAGGGGGGGAATCTGTTTTAAACTAATACCAAGCTAATATCAACCACCCTGAGAAAACTGAACAGTTTTCTAACTTACTAACCTGTTGCTGCCCTTGCCCCAGTATCTTCTGACCTACAGGATACATTTCAGATCTTATTTTTGGTACTTAGTAGTTGTATTTAAGTGAGTAAATCACTTCATCTCAGTAAGTCAGGGGTTTCTTAACCTTCTCTTTAATGTTGTGGACTCCTTTGGCAGTCTGGTAAAGACTCTGGACCGCTCAGAATAATGTTTTTAAATATGTAAAATAAAATATATAGGATTATCAAGGAAGCTGATTGTTCTGAATTAGAGACCTCAGATTAGAGCCCCTTCTCTAAGCCTGTTTATCTGTAAAATGAGGATAATAATACCTTTAGGAAGTGAGTGTACTAAATGAGATAAAAGTGCTTTACTAATCTTAAGATACTCTATAGATTTTTTGGGGGGGGGGCGCAGGGAGAGGCAGCAAGGAAGTCACTTCCCCTAAGCCTAGGTGACCTACTGAAGGTTTAGGCTCCTTAAGTATGAGAATTGGAATCAGCTCCTGCCCCTCCCAGAACAGACCTGAGGAGTCCATCTACTCAGCAAGTGTTTATTGAGCACTTATTACAGTAGCTTAGTTCCATACATGGTGGTAAACACTTAGGAAATGAAGAAAAGCACAAACACTATCCCTCCTTCTGGAGTTCACCTTCTCATGTGGTGATGACCTGTAAATGTACTTGCATATCTTGCATATACATTTACATGTCTCTCCCATTGTGAAGATGCAAAGATACTTGACACTTGACAGAAGAGAGGTAAAAGAGAAGGTATTCTCAGCAGGCAAGCTTTAGCAAATGGAGAAGACCAGAAGGGCCTCCTATGGAAGAATGAATTTTGAGTTGAGTCTTGAAGGGAGTCAGTGAAATTAAGAGGGGGCAGAGTATTCTAGGTATGGGGACAACATTTTAGGCAGTGTAGTAGAATCATGAACTGTATAAAGGAAAGTAGAGTATAAGGGGCTAGGTCATGAAGGACTTTACCTTCCAAACAATAGTTTTATATTTGAGCCTGGAGTTCAAGTAGCTTGTTGACATGGTCAGATCTCTGCTTTAGGAAAACCATAGGCAGCTCAGTGGAGGATGGATTAGAGTGGGGAGAGGCATAAGGAAGAGAGAACAATCAGAAAAGTATTGGAATAGTCCAGGTAAGACGTGATGAGGGCCTGTGCTAGAGTAGAGAGAAGAAAGTGTATATGAGAGATATACTATGCAGGTAAAAACAAGATTTGACAACAAATTGGATATGTAAGTTAAGGGGAGCAGGGGAGTCAAGGATGACACTAACGTAGTGAGCCTGGGTGAGTGGGAGAGTAGCGCCCAGCAAAGTATTGAGTTAGTACAACTTAGAAACAATTGAGTTTATGAAGGAGAGTAGTATGAAATAAGACAGAAAGTTAACTAAGTCAGCATCAATAAACGTTTGTTCAGCTCCTATTATGTGCCAGAACCTGTGCTAAGCCATGGGATTACAAAGAAAGGCTATAAGACAGTGCCTGCCCTCAAGGAGCTGACACTCTAATGAGGAAGACAACATATAAAAGAAGAAAAGCTAGGGGGGAGGAGGAGATGTATGAAGAGAGGAGAGACTGAGGTAAGAGGGAGGTTACCTAGTCCAGGAGGCATGATAAAGTCATTCAGCCAGCATGGGCAATGAGAATTACCTGAGTGGCCTTCTTAAATGGTGGAAGATCAAAGAGGAGCAGCCAGAGGGAGGGAAGGGACCAAGGGGCAGGGAGTCCTGAAGAAGTGTGAGTTTCCAAGTTGATTTCATCTTCCAGAATGATGATGTTCTGGGATTATGTGAAGCAAGAAAGCAGCTGGGTAGGAAATGAACCCATATCATGGAACTACCTCTTAAGTTGACGTGGTAAGCCAACTCTTGAATTAAGTCGACAGAAGGTGATGGTGGGCAAAAGATTACCTTAAAACAAGTTTCAAATAAGTATTTTTGGGGATGCATGCTTACACATTTTAATGGTAGCGTTACTCTAAGATTTTCCTCTTTAGATCTTTACCTAAGTTACAAAAACACTTCTCATTGAATGTTATAAAAAATTGCTTTTGTCTGCATCACTGAGTTTATAATACTTGTATTCTAACATTCTTATTTTTTTCCTTCCAAAAAGTGTGTGTGCTGCAGAGGCAGCAGGGCCTGGTAGATAGAGTTCAAGCCCTAGCTCTGGCATACTGGCTGTATAGCACTGGGAAAACGTCTTCATCTGTCAGTGCCTCAGGTTAAATATGTACTGCCCTAGGCAGATTACCTGGAGATCTACATTGGGAGTCTTCCCTATTGGAAGTACCCTATGTCAGAGGAATCCCAGATCTGATCCCCAAAAAGGAAAGGTATATACTAGGGGGAATCAATCAGCAAATATTTGTTAAACACTGTACTGGCCACTAGAGATACAGAGACAGAAATGAAACAGGCCCTCAGGGTGTTAACATTTTTTACTAGTGAGATCACATCTAAATGTAATAATACATACAAAATAGAAACAAGGGATTGGACCTCCCTTCTGCAGTAGCACCTGATTTAGCCTAGGATCAGAAAATTTATTAACATTATAAGCACTTTAGATAAAACCTTTAAAAAAAAAAAAGACAATCCATGAAGAAGCCCACGAAGCTGCAAGCAATGTTTTAAATAGGACAGAAGAACAGATCTCCCCTTCATGAGTGGTGTCTCCCCACCCCCCAATGCCTTGTGATAAGATTAATTCATTGACCATAAGGAAAGTGTCTTAACAGTATTTCCAGTTGCTTTTACAAAGATAAATCTTTAAGAGAAAA